TTTCCTACTCCCTCCTAGTCATTACTTTGCAATATTGTTATTTGTTTACTAATATGAATCCACCTATACCACACTGTATATGTTCTGTCTAATCTAGTTTTACAGATGCTACAATTTGGGTAAAAAGATCACTGCCATAAACACCATTAAACAAAAACTTCTATTAAATTTAAAAAAAGAAAAGAAAAGAAAAGAAAAGCAGAAGATAACAGTGTAAATGTAAGTCTCTTACGTCAACAAAAGGCCTGTAGATGGAGGTATTTGCTCAAGATAATCTGATTGTAGTTTTTTTAATAGCGGAGTAATTTCATCCTTTTTAAGGGGTTCAGCTAACTTGCTTTGCCCTTCCCAACAAATAGGTTGTCTTCCAACTGCAATTGGATCAACAAAAGGAAAGGAAGTAGAGGGTAGATCAAACAAATTTTGAACAATAAAACTCACAGCATCCTCCTTATATTCATTATGTTTAACTGTCACATGAAAAATTTTTTTAACCCTTTTCTCACAAAGTCTCTCCATCACTGGATGAAATACTTCAGGATCCACTGCTGCTGATGCAATTAAATTATTAACTGATGTTCCAAGTAGTTTTTCACTTTTTGTACCAAAGATAATAAAAGTAGCTGAGCTAGTCTCATCTTGCACTATGGTCTTCAAATGATACCTATATTAATAATAGATGTAATTCTCATATTTCATAAAAAAATTTAATAATATTTTCAAATTCTTGTAATTAATAAGGCTGATAACATATTCTAATCTTAACCATTAAATGACAAAATATTCCATACCAAATCATTGATTCAGACTGTGGAGTATTACAAACCCGACATCCTTGAGCAGTGTAAGCAGGAGGAAGTTTCCTGGTGCATTGTTTACAGGCTGTGTAAAACCAACCAGAATCTATGTCAAAGCCAACAACTTCTGCTTCAACTTGAAACCTTTGGCTTGGCTATACAGTTTTGAAAATTTATGTGACATTCATTAGATCATTTTAACATTAAAAAAAATACAATTACAGAAGTTGTTTCACATTAAGTGTAAATACATGATCAAAACAAAAAGAATTATACACTTCAATCCTATGCTTTTCCATTTTTATAGACTTTAGAAAGATGAAACCTGTCCTTTTTGAAGTCTTTCCTAAAGAGAAAAGAAACCAAAAATTCATATTTCAAATTCTCCTTCACTTTGTTACCTCAGCAAGCAAGCATGACGCCAAAACAAATATTTTTTCACCAAGGCTTCTACCAAACATCAATTTAGTATAGAATAAAGTGCAATAGCAATTTGAAATTCATAATGAAACTAATATGATAAAACAAAATTAGGTTTTATATGAAGATATAGCAAATAACAACCCCTGTTTATTTCCCAATTAAACATAGCCAACACTGAAAACAGAAAGAATTATACACTTCAATCTTATGCTTTTTCATTTTTATAGACTTTAAAAAGATAAAACCTGTCCTTTCTAAAGTCTTTCCTGAAGAGAAAAGAAACCAAAAATTCAGATTTCAAATTCTTCTTCTCCTTGTTACCTTAGCAAGCAACAATGATGCAAAAACCAGTATTTTTCACCAAGGCTTCTACCAAACATCAATTTAGTATAAAATAAAGTGGAATAGCAATTTGAAATTCATAATGAAACTAATATAATAAAACAAAATTAGGTTTTATATGAAAATATAGCAAATAACAACGCTTGTTTATTTCCCAATTAAACACAACCAACACTGAAAACAAAAAGAATTGTACACTTCAATCCTATGCTTTTCCATTTTTATAGACCTTAGAAAGATGAAAGCTGTCCTTTCTGAAGTCTTTCCTGAAGAGAAAAGAAACCAAAAATTCATATTTCAAATTCTCCTTCTCTTTGTTACCTCAGCAAGCAAGCATGACGCAAAAACCAATATTTTTTTCATTGGGGCTTCTACCAAACATCAATTTAGTATAAAGTAAAGTGCAATAGCAATTTGAAATTCATAATGAAACTAATATGATAAAACAAAATCAGGTTTTATATAAAGATATAGCAAATAACAACCCCTGTTTATTTCCCAATTAAACACAATCAACACTGAAAACAGAAAGAATTATACACTTCAATCTTATGCTTTTCCATTTTTATAGACCTTAGAAAGATGAAAGTTGTTCTTTCTGAAGTCTTTCCTGAAGAAAAAAGAAGCCAAAAATTCATATTTCAAATTCTCCTTCTCTTTGTTACCTCATCAAGCAAGCATGACGCAAAAACCAATATTTTTTCACCAAGGTTTCTACCAAACATCAATTTAGTATAAAATAAAATGCAATAGCAATTTGAAATTCATAATGAAACTAATATGATAAATCAAAATTAGGTTTTATATGAAAATATAGAAAATAACAACCCCTGTTTATTTCCCAATTAAACACAGCCAACACTGAAAACAGAAAGAATTATACACTTCAATCCTATGCTTTTCCATTTTTATAGACTTTAGAAAGATGAAACATGTCCTTTCTGAAGTCTTTCCTAAAGAGAAAAGAAACCAAAAATTCAGATTTCAAATTCTCCTTCTCTTTGTTACCTCAGCAAGCAAGCATGACGCAAAAACCTATCTTTTTTCACCAAAGCTTTTACCAAACATCAATTTAGTAACATAACGTGCAATAGCAATTTGAAATTCATAATGAAACTAATATGATTAAATGAAATTTTTACAAAATAATATAACTTACTTCAACTTCTAACACAGAAGTTTGTATCAAATTTGATATTGTTTTTCTAATAGAAGGCATAGTCTCTGAAGTTTCTTCAACCAGCTCGAATTTTCTAGTAAGTAATTGAGGTTGAATATTGAAGCTACCAAACCTGACACAAAAACAATATCTAATTAAATAAATAATCTGTTCAGATATTAAAGAACTTCAGAAATGGTAGAAATCTTATATATATGGAAGAATTTAAAAAACCTGTCTAGATATTGTTTCACTTCAGGGATGTCAAGATTAACATAGATCTTTGTTGGAGACATGCTAGCTCCATGAATTTCTCCTTGCAAATCACATTTAAATTAGTCAACAAATGTAAAATAAAATTCTTTAATATAAAATTTTATAAAATGAGTTATACCATCAAATTGTTTAGTAGCTAAAGAGGTAATGATAACAATTTGTGTTGAATCCTTTTCCCAAAGTTTTAACTGTCGTATTTGCTGCTTTGCTTTTCCCCATAGACTAATAGAAAATTTTGCTTCTCTACAAAATAATAATAATGCATTAATTTTTAATCAACACAACCCCACCCCATAGACCTCATAAAACTTTGCTCCCTTGCAAAATTTCAACTAAATAACAGAAAAAAAATGTTACTCAAATCACAGATAAATTCAAACTTTTATCAATTACATAACCAACAAAATTAAATTTCATATAATAAACTAACATAAAAAAAAAATAAGTAAATACTATCAAAAACATAATTGAAAGTCCATTAGTATTATTATCACTTACTCAAAATCCATCAACCAAATTTTACATGGTAACTTTGATTCTCACGCACTGTAGCCTACCTCCATATCATCAATTTTGGTTAAAACACCAATTAAATCTATATAAAACACAATATAACAATCTCATTCAGTCAAAACTAATTGTATGAAGTAAGTATGAAAACTTTTATGAAAATCTTAATATAAAATAAACATAAAAAATTAATAAAAATCCAAAATACCTGTTAAATATGTTAGTTGATGCAGTCTTTCTTTGCACTCTTGAAAGGACTTGAATTCAAATTTATGAGGTAATATAGAAGCAACATTTTCACTCTCAAGAAGGAATTTAGTAGCAACATTAACCCGTATTCTAATATTAGATGAAACAGGCCTATAATTTAAAGACTGCACACATCTGAAATTGGTGATAGTATAAATTTGACTTTCTTTCAAATTTTTTCTGTGAATTTGGGCACACTTTCTTTCCATAACAATATGGATAACATCACCATACAGAATTAGATTCGCAATGATATCAAAACTACAATTTAAATAAAAAAATTGAAACCTAAACAGATAATAAAAATCGAAAACTTTCCTCACCTTCTCATCTATTGCCACAGCATCAAGACCCAAATCTTTCTCATCCATAGCATCAATACCTGCATTCCAAATTCGACTTAATCGAACACGTATTCTAGTTCCAAATTTATTCTTGACTAAAGTGCTGATAGACTCTCTTCCTTTTTCCATTTCAATTGTTCGAAAGCAAACACAAATCTAAACAGAAACTGGATGAAATAAAGGCGCATGTAATGGGTAGTTTTCTGCAGTTGAAAAGTAATATGAAGCAAACGCATAATACTGAAATTTAGGAACAGTTTAGGAAAAATGGCAGAGCGGGAAATGGCGATCATGATGATATGAAGGAAACGCAGTAAATTGAAGATTTTTAAGTCGTTTTGGGACGTCGGGTTTTTCTTAGTCATTTTGGTGAAATGGACTATATTTAAAGTCGTTTTGGGCTATCTTAGCCCATTTACCCTGCGTTGGAAGCCCATTTCACCATTGTTTTGCTTCTGCGAAACTGCTTTTATACTTTTTACCCTTTTTCATTTCTGTTTAACAAAAGCAAGAGTACTTTTTTTTTTTTTCGTAAAAATTTAGCCAAAAAGAAGGAAAAGGAATTCTTTCTGCAGATATGTAAATAAAAAAAGAAGATGAAAACAATTGAGAACCAACCCAACAAATACTCATCTTTGAAATAGGTAGCAACTCTAGTAAATACTCATCTTTGAGAACCAACCCGGTGTTTCACCAAGCAAACTCCAACGTATAATCCAGCACATATAAGCAAGCTTCCCAAGATTCCTAATGGTAAATGACGTTGAAATTATCAAAATCAAAACAGAAAAAAAGAAAGAATTATTAACTCCCATCACAGAAAAA